CGAATTCGTAAAAAGGGTCGAGCAGGAAGGATCTGACGACCGCGCCAAGCTTTCTATTTGGGCAGGTCAAATCTAACCAGTAACATTCAGTCTGAGGGGGTAAAGTGGTGAGTTGGTTAGATCGAATACGTCGAACGCATGTATATTCCGAAAACACTGGTCGACTCCTGGTATTCTCCCATCCATCGTTCCACACTTAAAAACGCTTCAAAATAAGAACCAAAAAATGAAACTATGTAAATGAGGGAGGGATTACTGCGAGATAAGTTTAGGACAGTTACTAAAACCGTGCAGTTGGGACAGAGCTGGACGCTTCAAGCAACGCGATAGCGAAGTTCAGATCACGTGAACCATGGAGAGCTCTATTGTTATCGATCCGAATATCGCATCGTTCCAAACTATCTACCCAAATATTTACAGAGTGAAGACAGGGAAACAAACAAAAACATAAATAAAATGAGTCAGCAACTCAAGCACTAGTAAAATAGAAGAGAACACACCCGACTAAACATTATTGGCTCGCCACTCATCATGGAGGAGTCGTTTTCGTATCGCATACCGCGATGAAACGACGAAGGACCGTCATACGTGACCTGCAACTGGGACCATCTCTAAACTCGACAAATAAATTATCCAAAGGCGAATAAAAAAACTGGAAAGAAAACGTTGAAGAAAGCAAAACGGCACCTTTTCCTTATCGAAGTTTCCATCACATTGCCCTGCAAATGCTACCGTTTAAAACACAGTAGGCGTATCAAGTGAAATTCCCAACATTACACAAAACCATACAGTAAACGTTTAAAATCGATCGCATGAACCAACGTACCAAAAACGCCAGGACCTGACTGTTGATGTGGTCCCATTACAGCACCATCTTGTGGAAGGTACTGCGGCGGTGGATGAGCCTGGAGTAACATAGTTCTGTCATATTTAATAGTTCAGAATAGCTACAACTAAACGTTTGAGCAAATCTGTCTGAATTTGGCAATTACTGACAGGCCCAACATCGTTTGCCCAAAAGGGAATTGCCTACCAGGATCTCAACTCGACCCGTGAATATAAACCAAAATGGTACTATATCCGTTCCAAATTCCATTTTCTGGCATACTATAACGAAGGCGGTTGCACTCCTGGATAACAAAGCCGAAGACAAAGCGAAGTGTCAGAGGACCAAAAAATTCCACCGCAACAGTGTAGAAATGAGCCACGTTGAGAGCTATTAGCCCGAAATTCTCAGAAAGTTATCTTCCACTGAATACATGCGACAGATCAATACTATATTTAACTATTCAAAAGGAACCACTGCGATCAAAAGCACTGAAAAAAGTTCAATAAAAGAAAGGCTACGAGAAAGACGAGTCACCCCACTGCAGTCAGCGATGCTCGGGTCAGCAGTACCTCAAGCCACAGTCATGTTGCGACCGTTTCGCAGTTCGTGTGTGTAGTAGTTACCTATCGACGATTCCGCGAGTTTTTGGTGATATGCATCTACTCCACGAAAAACCACAAGATCGCAACTATGGCCGCGACCACGCACCTACACACAAAGCTCAACAGATTTGTACTGGGATTTCCGGTCGCTCGCGTGACATCAGCAGATGTTTAAAAGCCTTCAGATTACACAGCCAAATTTGTGCAGGGCATGGTGATGAGCAAACAGAAGCAAAGCAGGAATTCCTAACCAAGACTAATAGTACTGAGTATTGCAGGGGTATGGATATACAAGGAGGTTTGAAAAGGAGGAAACACACTGCATCCCAAACCCAACAACTTGTACTATAAGAGAAGTACTACAGTTCTAGACGAGTAGGAGTTCCAAAAGTAACGAAGTTGCAGAAGTTGTATGGGTACGTGTGGAATAAATAAAAGCATAATAACAACAGGATGGCTTTCACAAGTAAAACTGCCTCTCACATTCTATAAGCTAGTGTTTTTTCACTCGGGAAATCGTAACATAAAGCTAACAAATGTAAGGTTTAAGCAACCTGGATTCGTGCGTTGCGACACGAAGTAGTGACCTTTTGACTGTGCGGAAAAGACAAGCAGTAAAATAAGAATTTATTTACAGACAAAATCAAGAAATAGTAGTTGGAAAGATCGCTAGTTAGCGGAGACACTGAGGCGAGTCGTAGATGGCGAACTCGAGGCGACCACCGAATACGGGACCACAGTCGGGTGCACGGCGCGAACTAATCTTCAACACAAGCCACAAGGGCTTCCTACCTTGAGCCACTGGGGCTCCTTCAACTCACTGCCACTAAGGCTTATCAACTCGAGCCACTTAGGCTCCCTGTCCAGTCCACTTAGGCTCTCCTCACTGAGCCACTGATACAACCTCTTGCTCTCCTCTATCGAGCTTAGGCCCTCCTTCTTACGGGCCACTGCGGTTCTCTCCTGACCGCACCTCCCCCTACTGCAACTCCTGGGTCTCTTTTATATGTGCGTTCCCGCCCGAACCGTTTCCCTCTGGCAAGGTGGTCTCCCATGACCCCGCGCGATCGACAGCCACAGCCTCCTCCTCGACCTACCGCGCTCGAACCAGCTGATCATAGCTGGCGTCTTGAGGCAGGCATGCCTTTCCCTAACATGCGGTCAACAAAATTTCGCAACGCTTCTTCCCATGATTCAAAGTCCTGATGAATAAGCCCTTATTGTCTAAACATTGAAAAGTAGACAGTTCCACACTCCGTCCGATATCTGGGACGAACTCTCACATTGGTAACTCCCCCCTCCCCCTATAGAGACTTGTGCTAACTGGAGGAATTCCAACTCAAGATCTTTCATGTCACCTCTCACACTAAACGCTAGTGAGTAGAAGCCACGGTTGATGTTTGCTGTGCCGGGTCTCCTAATCACTGCTCATCGTCGACATAGCAGGACCATTGAATTATATTGGAGAAGTGAGAGGAAAAGGAATCGCAGAACACATGAGCCACAACTTCAATTACCCAAGAAGATGCACTTGAGTTATATGAACACAACGCCTCAAAACATGTTGAAATAAGAATTGAAAGAAGTGCGGTCAAAGGAAGCAGCCGCCACTAAACATAAAACAAGTAAAGTCAAAGTTCTGATTTCAAACCTTCAAATTGTCACAATCCTTCGTCTCAAGAAATAAAGAAGAGATGCCAACAAAAAGTGAGAAAACTCACGAATCCTGGTGGGGGAACACGACGTTCCTGATGTCTCATTTGGTCATCAGCGCCCAACCCAGAGTCCGGGGTCGTTCTAAACAGATGGTAAAACACTTGGTAAGATCATGTATCACTAACGAATATCATCAATCTTTTAGAATGAATATGAGTAAATGAAACACAGTCAAAACTACAACTATATGATCATCGGCAACTGCTAACAACATAAATGAAACAATTAGAACAGAGAGTCTAAAATGGCTTTGAAAGATGGGGAATAGGAACACACAAAAGCATGCTGAATAAAGTAGCAAACACGAGCTACCGAGTGGTTGTTGGCTGTGAGGGTAGTACGGCTCCATAATCGAGTTGAGGTTGACCTCCTGGACGAACCAAAGGCGTCCCGGACATCGCCTTAAGTAGATGACTTTCGAAAAAGACGCAATTTTCACAGATGCGTACTCATATCGAACGAAAACAAATAAATAACAAACAAATATAAACGGAAGTACTCCAACTAATAGAACTTCGAATTGACTTTCATGCAAGCTACCAAGAAGTGGCAAAAAAAGGGAAGCAGAATTGTTCAGAGTGCTCTTGGACTCTGAAATCCCACTTAGCTTGACTGATTTGCGCACATTGACCAAACTCTAATTTCAGAGGACTGTTACTGAAAGGAACCTAATGGCCACGCTGCCTCTAAAATAAGCAAGAGACAGCTGAAGCTGATCTAATAAGCTCAATCAAAACCCAGGCAGTCGTGAAAATATCGCCCATACCTAGACTCTTCACAATAACATAATGCAAAAATAACTCCTTTAGTCGGCAAAACTTACTGTAAATCAACGACTGAGCTGCAAAGTATAAATGGGAATAGTAGAAAGAAATCTGAATAAATTTGAAAATGACGCTCCAGTGATGGATATAATTAAACTCTTGAAACTGTCTAAAAAACTCTCTAAACATTTCGATTTCATTCGATTGTGCGCAGCAGTAACATGATAAAGAATCAGAGATATTAAACGAATGGCCTTGACTCGCAGCTATTTCCACATTGGCAACGACAGTTGGTGAACATCTCCTTTTACAAAGTTACCCAGTCATACCTTGGGAAATATTTCACAAGCTATCAGCTTTTTTTAAAGATCACGAGGAATTTTCTCTCCTACTCCGCGCCAACGTTGAACGCCTTAATGCCCTTAACGGGGCATTTCGTTGAACACTTTTATGCACACCTCACCGCTCTGAAACAAAAGAGCAAAAAAGACGAAACTGACTAGCAAGTAAAACCACAAGAATTGGTTAAAAAACTCACTTAAAGTTTGCCCTTATTACTCAGCCAATTATTGGGGAAGGAGTTAGTAGAGAAGGAAAAGGTAGAAAAAATCGTTAGTTCAGATCTATTTTTTAGTCCACTACCCGAGCGTGCAAACGACTTGTACTTTGAAGCAGAGCGCTTTGCAAATCGGCAGTCAAGAAATCTATCTCATTACTTTTATGGCACAG